TGAGATACACCGAAAGGAAGGCGGAGAGATAGGCAAAAGTAAAGAGAGACAGACGGGGGGAAGTCAGAGATAAGACACGTTATCAATGTCGGAGGCTAATCTCGTCCTCAGCAGCAACAGATAAGAGTTTTTTTTGTATTTTTTTTAGGTCGTTAGGGGGTGATGAGGGCAAGCTGTTGGCGAAAGGGAGGAAAGGGGAACAAGGGAAACGAATAAGGGGGAGAGGAGAGCGGGGAGGAGAGGGGAGGAACAAGGAGAAAGAAATGAAGGAGAGGAAGAAGAAGAACAGATGTTGAAAAGAAGAGGATGGGGAAGAAGAAGACGAAGAAGAAGAGAGAGAGACAGAAAAAGAGAAAGAGACAGACAGAAAGATAGGTATAGAAAGGCATACAAGAAAAAAATACGATAATTAGAGCGACTGTGGAATGAAACAGCTATCTAGACTACGAATATTTAAACCTGTGAACGAAATATTCGGGCATATGCTCTCTCCGCCTACCCTAATTAAGGATATTTTTGTAGACAAACAATGCCCGAAAGCGAAACACTAATGCCGAGAATAATAGATAAGACAGCATGTGCTCTTCCAGTCGGGAAAGGCAATCGGTTATGCACAGATACAGCGGGATCTTGCAAGACTGTGCAAACAAGCAGATGAGAAAGCTGGAACGTATTGCAGCGGTGAATAAAAGCATGAATACACAATGTGCGTTGCCATCTGTTCGTTGCCTTTTAATGCATGGCTTGCAAGATGAGAGGGAGGGGGTGGGAAGGAGAGAGGGAGGGGGGAGGAGAGAGGGAGGGGGTGGGAGGGTGAGGGAAAGAGGGAGAGAGGGAGAGGGAGAGGAAGAGTACATAAAAATGCGCAAACGCATAGGCTTACAGATGCACACGCACACGCAATCCAAGCACGCATTCACGCATGAACCCCAAAACACGTGCGCACACACAAAAGAAAAAAAAATGCAACAACAACAACAACAACAAAAAAGACATTTTTTTACCATTCAGCTTTTTCTTGTATCTTTCTGTCCGTCTGTCTATATATCGATCTACTGTATAGTTTTCACACACACACGCGCACACACACACACACACACACACACACACACACACACACACACACACACACACACACACACACACACACACACACACACACACACACACACACACACACACACACACACACACACACACACACACACACACACACACATATGCATACACACACACACACATATGCGCACACACACATTACATATGCACACACACACAGCAACAGCACACACACACATATGCACACACACATATGCACACACACACACACACACACACACACACACACACACACACATATGCACACACACACACACACACACACACACACACACACACACACACACACACACACACACACACACACACACACACACACACACACACATACCACACATACACACACATACACACACACACACACACACACACACACAGAAAGAAAGAAAGAAAGTCCCTTTGCCTGTAATCCCACACACACCTACACGTCGTACATAATAGACCAATCGTGCCAAATGAGCGAGTGTCAATGTGACTGCCGCCGCCGCGCTTCTGTCACGCCATCGCCGGAGCGGAACAGCTGGGCTCTTTTGGGCGCGTCACGTGTCACACCGCTCGTTGAGTGACGCGGACTTGCAGGCGATCTTCAAGGAGGGTCCTGTCATTTGTTTTATCACCGCCCCCCCCTAAATCGTCGGGCTTTCAGTTTATTTAAATTTTTCTTGTTCTTTTTTATATCCTGATCCCCCCCCCCTAAAACGCCGGGCTTTCTCTCTCTCTCTCTTCTTTTTTTTTTTTTTTTTTTTTTTTTGTTCTTTCTTTATATCTTGCGTTCTCCATTTTCTTCTGTTAGCCTCCCCTGAAACACGGGTCTTCTCCTTTTTTTTTCTTTTCCTCCATGTCTGTTTTTCTTTTCTTTTTTTCTTTTCCTTCCTGTCTATTTTTCTTTTTTTTCCTTCCTGTCTGTTTTTCTTTTTCTTTTTTTTTCTTTTCCTTCCCGTCTGTTTTTCTTTTTCCTTTTCTTTTCTCATTTCTCTATATCTTCCGTTCAACCTTTGTTTGATATTTCCTTCCTTCCTTTGGATTTTTTTGTTTGTTTGTTTGTTTCTATATATTCCTACTCATAGTTCTCTTCTCATACCCTCCTCCCCTTTTCATTTCATTCTCTTCTCCCTTTCTTCTTTTCCCCTTCTCTTCTCTCTTCACCTATCTCATTTTTCTCTTCCCTTTCCATTTTTTCTCCCTTCCAGTTTCTCCTTCTTTTTCCTTTCCCCACATTCTCCTCTCCCATTCTCCCCTTCCCCCTCTCTTTATTTTCGTCTTTCCCTCTCCCCATCTCCCCTTCTCCCTCTCTTCCCCTTCCTCTTTCCCCTCTCCCATCTCCCCTTCTTCTTTCCCTCTCCCCATCTCCCCTTCTTCTTACCCACTCCCCATCTCCCCTTCTCCATCTCTTCCTCTCCCTCTTCCCTTCCCCATCTCCCCTTCCCCTCTCTTCTCCCTCCTCTTTCTTCTTCCCCATCCCCCCTTCTCTCTCTTCCCCTCTCTTTCCCTCTATCTCTCTTCCTCTCCCCATGTCCCTTCACCACCTCCCCCTCCCCCTTCGGAAGCCGGGCCGAGCGGTGGCGCGACTCCAACACATTTTGATTCGATGCTCATGAGCATCAAAGACACGGGATGTCACGCGACCCCCTTGGTCATGTCTCTTTTTATCATTACTTCCTCTGTTTCGCTATTTATCTAACTGTTACTTCCTCTGTTTCGCTATTTATCTAACTGTACTATTTTCGCTTTGTTACTTCCTCTGTTTCGCTATTTATCTAACTGTTACTTCCTCTGTTTCGCTATTTATCTAACTGTCGTTTTGTGTATTTTCTTCTTCCGGGTCACCTGCGTGGTCGAAGGAAATGAGTGTGGGTCTGTTTCTTCTCTGGTGTGGATTGCAGTGTATTGTATGCATGTCTCGTATGTAATGACACACACACTACGGCACGATAGTGAACACTTCGCCGACTTTTGTTCGCCGCTTCATTATAATCGAGAAATCGCAGGGAGGAAATGGGGAGGAAATCACGCCGCCCGGAAGAGCCACGAAGCTCCACAACTCGCGCCTTGCTCTCTCTCTCTCTCCCTCTCTCTCCCGCCTTCCGTGGTCGCGCGATCGGGAATCCGCAGGAATGTCGGGATTACGGGGTATGGGTCCTTATGGAGGTCATTGCCGGGAGGGGAGGGGGGGGGGGGAGGGGAAGGAGGGGGGGATGCGTTCGTTGCGGGGTACGTTTTGTTTTTTGTTTTAGGAACGATATTTAGTAGTAGAGGAAGTGTGTGTGTTTTGTGTGTGTGTGTGTGTGTGTGTGTGTGTGTGTGTGTGTGTATGTATGTGTATGTGTATGTGTGTGTGTGAAAAAAAGTGTACGAAAGCGAGAGGATGACTGAAGGGAGAGGAAGGGCCGTGAAGTCGAAATCGAACAGACATAAAGAGAGAAAAAGAAGAAAAAGAAGGATAGCAATAGGGAGCGAAAGGAAGAACGAGCGAGTGGATATCGAAGGAGGGAAAATGATAAACGAAGGAGAATAACAAGAAAGGAAGAGAGGAGGAAGAGGAAAGGCACGAGATTCGAGTCGGGGAAAGAGGGCGAGGCAGCGAAAGGCGATAAGGGATAGATGGGGCCGTCCACTTGCGCGTCGAGATGCGATTTATTTAGAGGTTGCGAGGAAAGGGGACGCGGAGGGGGGGGGAAGAGAGAAGAGAGAGAGAGAGAGAGAGAGAGAGAGAGAGAGAGAGAGAGAGAGAGAGAGAGAGAGAGAGAGAGAGAGATGGGGGAGGAGGGGAGGAGGAGAGGGAGAAGGATAGAGAAAGAAGGTTAGAGAGTGAGTGTGAATGTGAATGTGAGAGAATGAGGGTGAGAGTGAGGGGAGTGTGAATGTGTGTGTGAGAGAGAGAGAGTGAGAGAGAGAGAGACATTAACACGAAGGGAAGAAAGAGAAACGTAGACCGAGAGAAAGTGAGAAAGAGAAGGAAAACCCCCCCAACCAACCCAAAAGTGAATTCCCTCAGAAGGGCAAAGCAACGCGAAGGAAATGAAGCAGCAGCTGGGAGGTAATCAGGTGGGTCATGAACCCTTGGATGCCAGATACAAGTTCAAGCTATAATTAGAGTGTGATGGCGGGCGTGGGCGGGTGTTCTGGACGGGTAGGTGGGCGTCGGTGGAGAGGCAGAGGTGGGCGCCGTTTGTAACCTGCGGGCGGGGTTCTCGGATGTTTCTCGTGAATGCATTTCGGGGGTTGATTTTATTATTTTTTTCTTTCTTTTCTTTTTCTTTTTATCATTATCATCGTCGTCGCTGTTGTCGTCGTCGTCGTCGGCAGTCATCATTATCCTTATCGTTGGGAAGGAGAGAGAGAGAGAGACGAGAGAGAGAGAGAGAGAGAGAGTGAGAGTGAGTGAGTGAGTGAGTGAGTGAGTGAGTGAGTGAGTGAGTGAGTGAGTGAGTGAGTGAGTGAGTGAGTGAGTGAGTGAGTGAGTGAGTGAGTGAGTGAGTGAGAGAGTGAGAGAGTGAGTGAGTGAGTGAGTGAGTGAGTGAGTGAGTGAGAGTGAGTGAGTGAGTGAGTGAGTGAGTGAGTGAGTGAGTGAGTGAGTGAGAGAGAGAGAGAGAGAGAGAGAGAGAGAGAGAGAGAGAGAGAGAGGAGAGAGAGAGAGAGAGAGAGAGAGAGAGAGAGAGAGAGAGAGAGAGTGAGTGAGTGAGTTATTCCAAAGATTCATTTATCTCTGTGACTTGCCAAAGTCAGTGGCATCACGTGCAGATACCACGCCATATATACTAGTGTTTTTTTGTGTTTGTTTAAGGGTGCGTTTACATGTGTATACGTTTGCTTGAGTGTGCAGTTTGTCTTCATGTAAGCAACTGCAGTATTAACTAATGTAGTATTGACTAATGTAATTACCGGAAATTTTCAGAAACTGGATATTTTGTATATTAGTGGAAAACCATATATTTTATTTACTTTCGTTTTTTTTAGAGTGGGCAACGGTGCATGTAGAAATGATATCTAATGATTTTTATTTCGTTTTTGTTACTTTTGCTCCAGTGAGATAAAGCTTATCACCATTTGACTAGTTACTGAGAGCTCTATAGAGATATAGGATGAGCTGTAGATAGTATGTGAATGTTACCATGCTTTGTCTTCTCCGTCTATTCACTAGTCCTTTTCCTTTTCTCTTGCTCGGGCGGGATTTTTTTCTGCCTTATATCTTAATCTTTCGTCATTTCTTATTCAGCTTCTTTCTCTTTTCCTCCCATCACTCTTACCCTCCCATCTTAAGATTAATTTCCCCATCATCAAAATGATTAATGATGTCTCTTTTCTCCCCACCCCTCTGTCTTTTTCTCGCTCTCTTTCCCCTTTCTCCACTCCTCTTTCTTTGCGTCCTCCTTCATCCTCCACCCTTCACCCCCACCTCCTGCAGAACGATGTGGCTGGCGGAGACTCATCCTCAGAGGGGTGCGGGCGCCTGGGTGTGGGCCTGGAGGAGGAGGGCGAGATGGCGGCAGCGCCCTTCAAGCAGGTGGTCGTCGGGATCTGCGCCATGGAGAAGAAGTCTGGGTCCAAGCCCATGAAGGAGATCCTGACGCGGCTGGAGGAGTTTGAGTACCTCAGGCCCGTTATCTTCCCCGAGGAGGTCATACTCAAGGTGAGTTTAGGGAGGAGGGAGGAAAAGAGGGGGGACTTTGGGGGGGGGAGGGAGGAGGGAGGAAAAGAGGCTTCAGGGGAGGGAGGAGGTTTGAAGATCTCCATCTCTAGGTCTTGTTCATGGTCAGAGCTTGTGTGGGCAAGGGGAAAGGAGGGTAGGAGAGGGGAGGGAGGGAGGAGGTGTTTAAGGCCTCTGTTTCAAGGTTTATCTCAAGGTGATTCTGTGTGATAAAAGAGGGAAAGATTTCGTGATATTTACTTTCCAAGGCCTTGTTCAGGGTGACTATTTGGGACAGAGGGTGAAGGTGGAGGGAGTGGGTGCTTGGATATCTTTTCCAAGATGTTATTCAAGAGGAGTTCTCATAATGAAGAACGAGAGGGTGCTTCTTTCTTAAACTTTTACAAACGGTAAGTTGAGTGAGGCAAAGCGAAAGAAGGGCATTCAGGACTTTATTTAAGATAGTGTGTAGGGTTGGGGATACGTTAAGAAATATTCAGCGCTTCCCTGCAACTTTGAAAGGTTGAGTAGGCTCAAGATAATCTTTATGTTACCCTTTGGGATGCGCAGAAAAATTGTTGACTTGATTGGTGAAAGTTAAAAAAGAATAGTTAAAATAAAGGGCCTATTTTAAGGCTAGTAGAGAAGTTATCATTCTAAGGTAGCCTATGTTGATGGAACTGTTGATGAATAATATTTGTGAAATTATATATATATATATATATATATATATATATATATATATATATATATATATATATATATATATATATATATATATATATATATACATATATAGGATGATAAGTAGGTATTTATAGCTATGCATAGATATATGATAAAGACACATACATTTTGTTCTGATTGTAGTCAAAGTATAATTTTCCAATGCATGGGACAAAATCAAGAGTTTGGATATACTACCCATTTGGCTGATCTTAAAGTCAAACCCCTTCACTGCTACACAAATGCTATTGTTGATGACATAATCTGTTTTATGTAGCTGACCTCCACTTACACTTGACAGATAATGATTAGACTGATAAGAAGTGAACTTTTAAAATGAAAATCAGACACATCCTAGTAAATGGAAAGTTAGAGGGAGATATACGAAATATTCTTATCAGCAACCCACTTTCATGAGTTACAAAGGTTGTGAAACAAGAAAGAAACTTTACTGGAAGTGTTCATTTGCTACTCAGACCATATATCATTTTTCTATTCATTGTATGTTCCCTATGGCAAAGTTAATTTAGCATTTCATAGACCTTTGGGCATAATCTGGCTGTTTTGATTGCTATTGATTTTTTAATCTGAATAGTTACAAAAATTTCCTTGGCATTTAAAAAGTTCCCCTTACATGTATTTTAGCATACATTCCTAGCATGACTTCTTTATAAAAATGTCCCATCAAATATCCATTTTCTCATCCTCTCTTTCCATCAGGAACCTGTAGAAAAATGGCCAGTATGTGACTGCCTCATCAGCTTTCACTCAAAGGGCTTCCCACTAGAGAAAGCCCAGGCATATACAGAGCTACGTAAGCCATATATCATTAATAATCTTGATATGCAGTATGACCTCCAGGTGAGTTGGCCTTAATGGTATTTACAGTGTATAAATTGTACAGCCTACATGAAAGATATTGTATGTGCAAAAATATAGATTTATTGAAGCTGTGTGTAACAGTGAGTGTGATGATGCTTTTTATTTCTAATATTCCAGGACAGAAGAGCTGTTTATAGCACATTACAAAGAGAGGGGATTGAACTACCAAGATTTGCCATTCTTGACAGAGATTCCAAAGATCCTTCTAGTGAGTGGAGACCGATAATCGGATATACACATTGAAAAAATACAATGTAACACAAATAGAAATTGAGAATGAGGTAGAATGTACCAAGTAGGATGTGTATTGATATATACAGTAGCTACAGAGCCAGTTTTAGTTTTTAAAACAAAACAAAATTAAGAGATGAAACTTACATTTTTATGCAGAACGGGAACTGATTGAAGGTGAGGATCACGTGGAGGTGAATGGAGTGGTCTTCAACAAACCATTTGTAGAGAAGCCTGTCTCTGCTGAAGATCACAATATATACATCTACTATCCTACTTCAGCAGGAGGAGGGTCCCAGAGGCTGTTCAGAAAGGTGAGGCAAAAGAATTCAGAGAGGAGAGAAAGGGGCAATGGATACTGTAAAGAGGAAATGAAAAGAGAAGAGAAAGGAGAAAAAAGGAAGGAATAAAAAGAAAAAAAAAATAAAGGAGACTGAAGCAGAGGGAGGTTTGTAATCCCACTGGTGCCACCAAATATGATTTCTCTTCCCTTTATGCACGAAAGTTAGGGTGCAATGAAATAGATCTGATAAAAAATGTTTGCATAGTATTTAAGGGGCAAGGAATAGTGTAAAGAGGAAAAGAAAAGAGAACAGGGGGAGGAAAAGGGAAAGAATTTTAAAAATAAAGACAAAATAAGGAGACTGTAACAGAGGGAGGTTTGCAATCCCACCGTTGCCACCAAATATGATTTCTCTTCTCTTTTTATACACAAAAATTAGGAAGTGATGAAATAGGTGGGGATGAAAGAAGTCTTATTAGTATTTGATTTTTTGTTACTCTCACTTTATCACCAATAATGGGAGCAGTACTGAATTCATATGTTATTTTTTTCCAATGTAGAAATGAACATTATTGAAAATATTTCAGATTGGGTCCAGGAGCAGTGTTTATTCTCCAGAAAGCAGAGTTAGAAAAACTGGGTCCTATATATATGAAGATTTTATGCCCACTGATGGGACAGATGTAAAGGTATAATTAATAAAAGAGTTATCTCTTAAAAGCATACAATATCAGGCTGAAATAATTGCAGCAATGTGAATTACTATGAATATATTGTACATGAAATTTTCACTTTAAAAACTCATATATGTTTACTTTTGATAGTAAAACCTAATTACACAAAGGAAAACTCTTCTGTTTTTCCAATGTAGGTATACACAGTAGGACCTGATTATGCTCACGCAGAGGCACGGAAATCGCCAGCACTGGATGGAAAAGTTGAAAGAGACAGTGAAGGGAAGGAAGTTAGATACCCTGTGATATTATCCAATGCAGAAAAATTAATTGCAAGAAAAGTGTGTATTGCATTTAAACAGACAGTGTGTGGGTTTGATTTATTAAGGTAAGTTGCAGTAGATGTTATTTAGCTTTGTAATTTAGATTTTTTGTACTAATTATAGTAGATTTTGAGCATATATACATTGAAAGTAGATATATAAAACATTTGTGATCAGGTAAAAAGATAAGATAAAATAAGGTGAATATACATTACTGATATATGTAAATGTTATATTTCTTCCTCAGAGCAAATGGAAAGTCGTATGTATGTGATGTAAATGGGTTTAGCTTTGTCAAGAACTCCAGCAAATACTATGATGATTGTGCAAAGATCCTTGGCAACATGATATTACGTGAACTAGCACCAACATTCCACATCCCTTGGGCAATTCCCTTCCAGCTAGATGACCCTCCTATTGTACCAACAACCTTTGGGAAGATGTAAGTTGTAAAATATATATAAGGCAGAGTGAATGTATAACTGTAGATTGTAGTTAGTTATATTGAATTTTATGATGAGTGATTTTTATTGTGTATTTAGTCATTATATGTGTTTTATTTTCTTGAGGTAGTGAACTTAGCTGTCCAACTCATATTGCCTTCCAAAATGAAATACTGTAGATGATAGTTCATCAGAGCAGAGGGTAATGATGTAAACTAGATGCTTAATGCCTCATACCATCAATTCCCATAGGATGGAACTGCGATGTGTGGTTGCTGTTATCAGACACGGTGACAGAACGCCCAAACAGAAGATGAAGATGGAAGTGAGACATCCCAAGTATGTCAATATTATTTAGTAGATACTAATAAGTCATGAGTAAGTCATAACTGTTGTTAGAAAATATGTTTAACAAGAACAGCAAAAAATATCCATTGATATTCTATTTTCATTTGCTCAAATGGGAAAATGTTTTTTTTTTTTATCTCCCTTTTTTGATCCAGATTCTTTGAGCTCTTTGCCAAGTATGATGGTTATAAAGATGGTCATGTCAAGCTGAAAAAGCCCAAACAGCTGCAAGAAGTGCTGGACATCGCGCGGGGGTTGCTGGCAGAGATCGAGCAGAACCGTGCAGACCCAGAGACAGAAGAGAAGAAGGGGAAGCTGGAGCAGTTGAAGAGTGTCTTGGAAATGTGAGTTCAGGGTCCCTCATGAGCACGGCCTGGTCATCGCGTTGTACAGTTTGTGTGCTATTATTATTATTATTATTTTTTTTTTTTTTTATTACTATTATTAATATTATTGTTATTATTATTATTATTATTACTTTTGTTTTGATTATTAGTATAATCTTTTAAATTATTGTTATGATTTTTTTCTATGATTTTCATTTTTTTGCTTATCTTATTTATTTACGTTGAGTTTTTGTTTTTGATCTGTATGGAGCTTCCTTTGGCAATAGCAATCCTCCTTCCATGCATTTTGTATTTTGGCCTTAGTGGATTGTCACACTTGTTTTTTTTTCATTTGTGCTTTATGTGCTGATAGACAGACCTCTATCTATTCCAACCTGCTTACAGCTTTAACATTCCAAAGAAAGAATAATTATTTTGCTGGCTTTTGTAACACTGGATACTCTGTTTGTTTGAAAGCTTTTTCAGCATGCATTGGATATGAGGTTGTGTTGACATCTGAATTATGTGTAAATGAAACTGATTTCCTCTTTGAACTTGTGTGTGCTACTTCAGTTTTTTTTTTTATATTTCTATTACTACCATGGTTCTAGTTTTGCATTCTCTTTTTTCTATTGCTTTTTAATCAGGTGATTCTCCTTTGACAATAGGTAAGAGAAGCATAGCAGCAGTTCCATATTATGTATGACATATTTAAGAAGAATGTGTATATATTCTTAAACACTTGCTTTCCTGTTACATTCTGTGCATTTTCTTGGCCTTCATATCATATTTTTAAAGATATATGTTTTTTAAATCCAATTTTTCTTTCTAATATACTTAAAATGAATCAGACCAGAGAAGAAAACTATCTGTAACTTCTAATGTGTTTTGTGTAGATTTTTGGGAACTTTTGTTATTTCGAAATGATGTTAGAAATGAATAGTATGTAATAACTCTTCTAGTTATGCAAATTTGGCACTATTGTAGAACTCTCCCCAAGCCAGAAGGGAAGAGTATAATTGAAAATTAGCTGAGGAACCGCTACTCAATATTCTTTTCTCTCTCTTTCTTTCACTTGTTTGTTTTTGGCAGCAGATGCAGAACACACATTTGCGCATCCATAACTCTGAAACAACTGAGCAGAGAAAGAGTGAAGATGTTACAGTCACTTGAAACGTGGTTGGGGTTGAAGAATGGGAAAAGGGTACGGTGCAGGTAGAGTGGAAGCTGATGACTAGTCAGGATGAAGGGGTTTTGGGGGGTAAGAGTGAAATCAGGAAATTCAATTAAATTATTTGCAAACTGGTTACTTTGGCATGTCAGATTGGTGGAGGAGGAAGAGGATTCTTGTACATAATATAGGAATTACTTGGTGCTTATTGAGGTAAAGACACTTGAAATTGTTCTAATATCAAGATCTTGAGATTTTCTTTTTCTTGTTATTAGATTTCATAAAGATTTGCTGCTTCAATTCCTCTCATGCACTTAGATTGTTGCTTTGATGGGTAGGAACCACATTCTATGAAACTGCAACTTGCTGTCTGCAACTTATAAAGATGTTTCTAAGAAACCTTATATTTGCCAGAAGAATATGTAACATCTCTACAACAACAAAGTTTTACCTGTACTTTTAGAGTGACTTGTCTTCAGCAATAAAGCATGGCTCTTTTGTACTTTTGAAGAAAAAAATCCACATATTTAGCATGTAATTCATTAGAAGGTAGGCTTTTTTCCTTGTCAGTTGTACATAGTAGGAGATAAGCATAAGCTTTTGCTCTTTTATGCTCCTGATAGGTTAGAAAAATCTTTTTGTACTGTTATAGAATTACAATAGTTTGAAATTGCTAGGTAAGAATAAGAATCAGAATCCGCTGATATTTAAAACATGATAGAATGTCTGTACATAAAGATGTATATTTCAATTGTTATTTTCCTTTTTATTATTTTCTCCAACTGTAAATATGCCCTTGATGTTTAAGACAAGGAAGATCCTTGTAAACTGAGCATATCATGAACTGCAACACAGATATTTCTCTTGAAGACCTCTCCTTGGCATGCTGCACTGTGGCATAGGCCTACTCCTCCTGAATGTTCCTTTTTTGAGGCTTGTGGTTTAGCACTATCCTCACATGGCCTTGGCAAGAGACTGGGGAACCCCCAAACTACAGTGGTGTATGTGTTTCTCCTGAGATTTTTTTTTTTTTTTTTTTTTTTTTTTTTTTTTTTTTTGATGTAGTTTATTGTTTTCTTTTTATTTTATTTTATTTTTTAGTTCACATATACAAGTATATGTTCGTATTTTATTTCTGTATACATATTTTTTGAAGCACTTTAATGTTGCCTGTAGTATATCATGTATCTCAACAAAAAGGACATTATAGTGCCCTTATTTACAGTCTTCATTACCAATTGCTGTGCCATTATACTGAATAGGTTTTGGTGGTAGACTAAATGCATTATTTATTTGTGACTTTTACATTATTTTTTATTTCTTTTTTGTTCCTCCCCTCCCATTTTG